ACGGGCGGGAGGGGGAGAATCATTTGTCCAGACTTCGCCCTAGCAACGGCGGGTTCATTCCTCTCGCGCGCCCACGCAGCTTCGCCTCGCCCGTACGCCCGACACGCTCGAGCGGAACGATTTCCTGGTTGGGGGTCTCCGTTCCACTGCGATCTCACCCCCCAAAGTCCGACACTTGTAGATCAGTAAATACATAAAAACCACACTTCGGGTGATAAGGAGGTTGTGTGGGGGGGGAGAGGGGGGGAACCAACATCTGACTCAATAGATCTCACTATCGATCTCACTCAACGGGACACCACGGGACACCACGGGACACCGCGGAACACCGCGGGACACCTCTCGATCTCACTATCGGTCTCACTATCGATCTCACTATCGATCTCATTCAACGGAACACCACGGGACAACACGGGACATCACGGGACACCACATCGATCTCACTTCATCTCACTATCGATCTCAGTATCGATCTCACTCAACGGGACACCACAGGACACCTCGGGACACCCGTCGATCTCACTATCGATCTCGCGATCGATCTCACTTTTTGGGACACCACGGGACGCCTCGGGGCAACACATCGATCTCAGTATCGCTCTCACTATCGATCTCACTCAACGGGACACCGCAAAACACCTGTCGATCTCACTATCGATCTCACTCAACGGGACACCACGGGACACCTCGGGGCACCACATCGATCTCACTATCGATCTCACTATCGATCTCACGATCGATCTCACTCACTCAACTGGACACCACGGGACACCACGGGACACAGCGGGACACCGGCGGGACACCGCGCGGCACCGGCCGCCGGAGGATAAACATTTGGTCTGGCCGCGGCCCAGCCACAGGAGGACTTCGAGACCCCCGCGGGACACCGGCAAGACACCACGCGGCACCGGCCGCGAGAGGAGGAACATTTAATCCGCCCGTGGCCAAGCCACAAAAGAATTTCCTCTCGCCCACCCACGCAGCTTCGCCTCGCCCGCACGCTCGCACGACACGCACGTCACGAAGCCGAAACCGAATCGATTTCCCAGTAGGGGGGTCTCCGTTGCACGTCGGACTCACCCCCCAACCTCCAACATATACATATATACATATATAGATATTTACCTATACGACCACCCTTCGGGTGATAAGGAGGTTGTGGGGGGGGAGAGGGGGGGGGAACCAACATCTGGCTCAATCGAACCGATCTAACTATCGATCTCACTCAATGGGACACCACGGGATGTCACGGGACACCGCGGGACACCTCTCGATCTCACTATCGATCTCACTATCGATCTCACTCAACGGGATACCACGGGACACCACGGGACACCACGGAACATTTGTCGATCTCACTATCGATATCACTATCGATCTCACTCAACGGGACACCATAGGACACCACGGGACACCACAGGACACCACATCGATCTCACTATCTGTCTCAGTATCGATCTCACTATCGATCTCAATCAACGGGACACCACGGAACACCTCGGGACACCTTTCGATCTCACTATTAATATCACTATAGATCCCACATTGTGGGACACCACGGGACACCACGGAACAACTCGGGGGACCACATCGATCTCAGTATCGATCTCAGTATCGATCTCACTCAACGAGACACCACACGACACCACGGGACACCACGGGACACCTGTCGATCTCACTATCGATCTCACTATCGATCTCACTTGTTGGGACACCACGGGACACCACGGGACAACACGGAACACCTCGGTGCACCACATCGATCTCAGTATCGATCTCGCTTTCGATCTCACTATCGATCTCACTTTTTGGGAAACCACGGGACACCTCGGGACACCTCGGGGCACCACATCGATCTCAATATCGATCTCACTATCGGTCTCGCAATCGATCTCACTCAACGGGACACCACGGGACACCACGGGACACAGCGGGACACCGCGGGACACCGCGAGCCACCGCCGGACGGACCGACGGACGAGCGGGAGGGGGAGAATCAGTTGTCTTGACTTCGCCCTAGCAACGGCGGACACCACGGGACACCACGGGACACTACGGGATACCGCGGGACACCGCGAGCCACCGCCGGACGGGCGGGCGGGGGAAAATCATTTGTCTTGACTTCGCCTTAGCAACGGTGGACACCACGAGACACCACGGGACACCACGGGACACCGCTGGACACCGCGAGCCATCGCCGGACGGGCGGGCGGGAGGGGTAGAATCTATTGTCTCGACTTCCCCCTAGCAACGGCGGACACCACGGGACACCACGGGACACCGCGGGACACCGCGGGACACCGCGAGCCACCGCCGGACGGGCGGGGGAGAATTATTTACCTTGACTTCGCCCTAGCAACGGCGGGTTCATTCCTCTCGCGCGCACACGCAGCTTCGCCTCGCCCGCTCGACGCACGCGCGACACGAATGAAACGGAACGATTACCTGGTTGGGGGTCTCCGTCCCACTGCGATCTCACCCCCCAACCTCCGATACCTATACGACCACCCTTCGGGTGATAAGGTTGTGGGGTGGGGAGAGGGAGGGGCACCAGCATCTGACTCCATCGATCTCACTATCGATCTCACTCAACGGGACACCACGAGACACCACGGGACACCACGGGACACTTGTCGATCTCACTATCGATCTCACTATCGATCTCACTCACCGGGACACCACGAGACACCACGGGACACCACGGGACACTTGTCGATCTACTATCGATCTCACTATCGATCTCACTCACCGGGACACCATAGGACATCACGGGACACCTCGGGACTCCACATCAATCTCACTATCGATCTCAGTATCAATCTCACGATCGATCTCACTCAAGAGGACACCACGGGACACCACGGGAAACCTCGGGACAGCTCGGGTCACCTTTCGATCTCACTATCGATCTCACTAAACGGGACACCACACGACTCCACGGGACACCACGGGACACTACGGGACACCACGGGACACCACGGAACACATGTCGATCTCACTATCGATCTCACTTTCGATCTCACTTTTTGGGACACCACGGGACACCACGGGACACTTGTCGATCTCACTATCGATCTCACTATCGATCTCAGTCACCGGGACACCAAAGGACACCTCGGGACACCACGGGACAACACGGAACACCTCGGTGCACCACATCGATCTCAGCATCGATCTCACTTTCGATCTCACTATCGATCTCACTTTTTGGGACACCACGGGACACCTCGGGGCACCACATCGATCTCAGTATCGATCTCAGTATCGATCTCAGTATCGATCTCAATATCGATCTCACTATCGATCTCACTATCGATCTCACTCAACGGGACAACCCGGGACACCACGGGACACCGCGGGACACCACGGGACACCGCTGGACGGACGGACGGGCCGGCGGGCGGGGGAGAATCATTTGTCTTCTTGACTTCGCCCTAGCAACGGCGGACACCACGGGACACCACGGGACACCACGGGATACCGCGGGACACCGCGAGCCACCGCCGGACGGGCGGGGGAGAATCATTTGTCCTGACTTCGCCCTGGCAGCGGCGGGCTCACTCCTCTCGCGCGCCCACGCAGCTTCGCCTCGCCTCGCCCGCACGACACGAGCGCAACGGAACGACCTCTTGGTCTGGCCAGGGCTCTCCGCTCCGCTGCGACCTCCCCCCCAACCTCCGAGACACACAGACACACATGTGTGTGCGTGCATGTGCATATGTATAGACTCCTACGCGAAGGGGACCAGAGGTAACTCTGGCCTCGGCAGCGGGGCAGCAGCAACTGCGCCCATGGCAGGCTGCAGCTCTGCGCGTGCCTCCCGCACTGCTGCAGCCGACGCCCACGGGGCGCGCGCCCCCCGGTGCGCCCACAGTTACCAGCCTCGAACGTACCCCTATCCCTAAGATTGACACGCCAAAAGACGATGACAGTCCTAGGGATCCGCCCTCACAAAATACGGGAAGCCCTCAGATTGGCATCGTGAGGAGGAGGTGCCCAGCACAGGGACAGGGATACGTATGTTCCAGGCTGGTAACACAGGGCGGTGCCCGGGCGACATCATTCGGGGACCGCCCGCCCGCGGTGAGGCGCCCACGGGGCGGTGCGAGGAGGAGGAGGAGGAGGAGGAGGAGGAGGAGGAGGGAGGAGGAGGGAGGAGGAGGAGGGAGGAGGAGGGAGGAGGAGGAGGAGGAGGAGGAATAGGAGGAGGCACCGCCCGCCCGCGGGGAGGCGCCCGCGCGGGCGCCCCCCCGGCGAACAAAGAAGCCCGGCGGCCGCCCGGGCTTAGCGCAGCGGCGGGGCGCCCGCGAGGCGCCCGGCGGGCCGCCTTCCGGGCTCCTGCGTGCTCCCCTCCTCGCCTCCTCGCCTCCTCGCCTCCCCGATCCCCTCCTCGCCTCCTCCCTCCCTCCCACCTCGCCTCCCTCCTCGCCTCCTCGCCTCCCTCCTCCCTCCCTCCTCGCCTCCCTCCTCCTCCCTCCCTCTCTCCTCCCTCCTCGCCTCCTCGCCTCCCCGACCCCCTCCTCGCCTCCTCCCTCCCTCCCTCCTCGCCTCCCTCCTCGATCCTCGCCTCGCCTCTCTCCTCCCTCCTCGCCTCCTCGCCTCCCCGATCCTCCCACCACGCTGTGCTTCTCCACCGCCGACGGCCGCGCTGGCGACGAGGGCGGACGGCGCCGAGGGGCGACGTCCGCCGGCGACCGCGCGGGTGTCGCCTATAGGCCAGGCGCGCTGGCTGCAGCGGAGCCTGACCTGCCCCCTTTGCCGGGAGGACCCCGGGGCCGCACACCCACCCGAATATTTACGAGCGGAAGCCTGTGAGTCCCGATTGGACGCGCTGTGCGGGCGGTGCGTGTAGAATCGCACGGACGTGTACCGCATCCAGCACACACAGCATACAAGCACACAAGTGTGTGTACCAGAGCTGCGCGCTCTCTCTCTCTCTCTCTGTGCATATCTATGTGTGTTGCATATGTATGCTCATGTATTTTCGCGATGCCACAGTTCTACATCCCACAGCTGTCCTTACGAGAGCCGCCTGGCGATTTGATCTCACATGTCGCCGAACCGATCATATACTGCATCTCCGCACTAGAGCCTCTCTCCTTCGGATCGTCCCTGTCCGGCGACCCTGTCAGATTCTTCCGCGGCGGCGCTTGCCTGTAAGCTGCGCTGCAGACGAGACACACCAGCAGCCAAAGCATCCCGCTCGGCGACGCGTGCTTGTCCCAGATTAAAACGTTCAGGATGACACTGACCAGCTTGCATACCACCCCCAGCAGCGTGTAGGCCGTGGCGGACACCTTGGACCGGCAGTTCCAACCGGACCAGCTTATGCCGATGCCGATCACGCACGAGACGCAAAGCCAGCACGTCGCCTGGAGGTCTATCTTGGTGGTTGGAAACCTGGAAGCCTCCCCAGCGGCGATGGCAGTGGCGAACATGGGCAGCAGCCCAAGCGCGTTGGTGTAGAAGGTCGCGCCCCAAACAGGGGAACGAAACTGCACCCCAGAGATCAGCCTCTTGCCATACGTCATCTCAAAGACGATGCCGGCGAGATTCAGGCAGACCCACTTGTACGCCGAAACCCCCAGCAAGGCAAACTGGCTGTCGGCGTGGACGTAGCCGACCGCACCCACGACTAAGCCCAGCAGGGCCAGTACCGATCGTAGAAAAAGAAAGAGCGACTTAAGGATAAACTTTCGACGGTCCGCGCGGACTTCTTGGATCTGCGCCGGACCCCCCCTGGCGCGCTCCGCGCGCCAGGGGCGGCGCCGGAGGCGCCGAGACAGGGTGGCCCGGGCGCCGATGCAAGAAATCCGCGCGCACCGTCGAAAGTTTATGTTCATGCCGGTTTATCTTCTTCGGGATCGCGCGTCGGGCAGCTCCCGCCCGAGGAACATCCAGTCCAGCACGCTCACGCAGAGCGGCGACAGGGCCCGGAAGACGATGACGGTCTCGATGTTCGAGGCCGCCAGGGCCCTGCCGTTGGAGTACAGCGAGAGGTTGAAGGAGCAGATGTAGGGGATGAAGGTCGCGACGGCGCTCCTGCAGGAGCAGGAGCACATCCCACCATGGCCTCCTCCTCCTCCTCCCTCCTCCTCCTCCTCCTCCTCCTCCTCCTCCTCCTCCTCCTCCATACCCGTCGTCCTCTGCCTGGGAGACGGAGGAGGGGGAAGGGTGCACGGGTATGCGTTTGTGTCAGGGCAGTACCAGGAGAACAGGTCGGCTTCAATCAACTTGGAGGTGCGCAGGACGAGAATGAAACCAACCGTCGCGGCCAATTGTGAGCAGAAAATTAAGCCTGGCAAAGGAACGTGATGAATCGCCACCTTGTTTGTCACGATCGCCAAGCTCGAGCATGTCGCGTAGGCTGCAACACTTACCCCAGTGGTTAGCCTGATCGATCGCCCGTCACCGACCCCAGCCGACATTGACCGACTATACCATGTTGGATGTGTCGGCGCCGTCTGAGCCACAACAACTATAGATGCGCCGGCGACCACGAACAACATATACATTCATAGCCAGAAGGGAGTGCGGGCCAGATCATGAATATGAAGGGGCCCCAGGACACACAAATGAATACACACAAATAAAATGATCCCCCATAGTTTCCTATATTTTCTGGGTTTTTGTCTTCCCCCCCACTTCCCATATTTTCCCATGTTTTCTGGAGAATCGAGGATTAAGTGTGTCTGTGCGATTTTTCCTCTCCTGAAACATATACATTCATAGCCAGAAGGGAGTGCGGGCCAGATCATGAATAGGAGACTCCAAAATACCAGCCGGAGCATTCCTAAATAGAAGGGCTTACCGGGGCTCTCGACGCTCCAGGAGACAGCCCAGGAGGCCCTCGAGCTCGCCCCAAGACGTCCCCTCCTCCTCCTCCTCCTCCTCCTCCTCCTCCTCCTCCTCCTCCTCCTCCTCCTCCTCCTCCTCCTCCTCCTCCTCCTCCTCCTCCTCCTCCTCACAAGAGACCTCCTAGAGGCCTGGCTAGCCCCCAAGACGGCCCAAGAGGCCCCCAAGACGAACCCGAGGACCCCCCATTGACAACCGCCCCAGAGACCCCCCAAGCCGCCACAAGACGGCCGCAACGGCCCCCCACGACGGACCCCAGAGGCCCCCGAAGACTGCCCCGAGAGGGGCAACAAGGGAATGCGAAGGTGCCCTAAGTGACGGCACCCTGAGGCCAAGATACAGTCGGACCTAGGCAAAAAGAAACATCATTCAAGAACATGAGACACTCCGCCGGCCAAAACAAGCAGACTATCTAAGGGTACCATCCCCAAGATGCACAAGGACATCCAACAAACGCGAAGAACACCACGGTACCCTCCCCGAACCGACCTCGATCTTACGCCTCGGTCCGACTGTAACCCCAGAGACAGCCAAAAGGACTCCAAGACTCTCCGTCGGCCCCGCAAGGAGTCGCAAGAGGCTACCCAAGAGGCCCCTAGGAAGAGGCCTCCAAGAGGCCCCCGAGACGCCAGGCCACAAGAGGCTCCCAAGAGTCACCCAAGAGGTAAACACCCAATGAGGCCCCCGAGAGGAGCGCTGACCCACAACCCAGGCACAAGGGATCGGCGATCGCTTGGATCGACGTGGCCCACGCGTTAACAAGTGGGTACCCTGTGAGTCATATATGTGTATATACCTATATCGGAGGTGAGGGTGTGAGATCGAAGGGGAACGGAGAGCCCCCCTACCGGGAAATCGGTTTCGGTTTCGTGTTCGTGCGTGCCGTGCGTGCGGGCGAGGCGAAGCTGCGTGGGCGGGCGAGAAATAAGTCTCCTGTAACTAAGGCGCGGCCGGACCGAAAGTCTCCCGTCCGGCAACCGGTGCCCCGCGGTGTCCCGCCGGTGTCCCGCTCGGGGGCCGGTGGCGCGCGGTGTCTCCCGCAGGTGTCCCGCCGGTGTCCCGATGATGACGATGATGATGATAATGATGATCATGATGATGATGATGATGATGATGATGATGATGATGATGATGATAATGTTGCCGATGATGATGATGATGATGATGATGTTGATGATGTTGCCGCTAATGATGCTGATGATGATGATGATGATGGTGATGGTGATGGTGATGGTGGTGATGATGATGGCGTCCCGATGATGATGATGATGATGGTGGTGGTGATGATGATGATGTTGACGATGTTGATGATTCTGATGGTGATGGTGGTGATGATGGTGCCCCGATGATGATGATGCTGATGATGATGATGATGGTGCCCCGATGATGATGATGACGATGTTGATGATCTTGACGATGTTGATGACGATCAGATGGTTTGATGATGATGGAGATGATGGTGATGATGATGAAGATGATGGTGATGGTGTCCTGGTGACGATGATGATGATAAGGTTGATGATGCTGCTCTTGATGATAAGGGTGATGATTATGCGGGTGTCCAAAGGATGATGAACATGATGATGATGATGACGATGATGTCCCGATGATACGGATTATGTTGATGATGGGTTTGATGATGAGGTGATGATGATGATGTTGATGATGGCGGCCCAATGATGGTGATGATGATGATGATGCTGATGTTGATGATGATGGTGTCCCGATGATGCTGATGATGATGATGGTAATGATGATGATGGTGACGATGATGATGTTCCGATGATGATCACGTTGATGATGGTGTTGCTAATGATGATGATGGTGTCCCGGTGATGATAATGATGATGGTGATGATGTTGTTCATGATCATGATGATGATATGTTGGTGGTAGAGGTGTTCCGATGATGATGATGATGATGACGGTTTCCCGATGGTGATGCTGCTGATGACGTCGATGACGATGATGTCATGATGATGATGATGGCGATAATGATGATATTGATGATGATGAGGTGATTATGATGATGGTGTCCCAATGATGGTGATGATGTTGATGACGTTGATGACGATGATGTTGATGATGATTATGATGACGTTGATTGTGGTATCGATTGTGATATCGATAGTAAGATCAATAGCTAGACCGAATGTGAGATCGATTGTGAGATCGATACTGAGATCGATAGTGAGATCGATTGTGAGATCGATCGAGTGAAATGGATCGAGTGAGATCGATTGTGAGGTCGATCGAGTGAGATCGATCGAGCGAGACCAACAGTGAGATCGATAGTGAGATCGATAGTGAGACCGATCGAATGAGACGTTGGTTCCTCCCCCCCCGGACCTCCTTATCACCCGAAGGGTGGTCGTATAGTTATATGTACATATGTGTATATAGCATCCAAGAACTACGCACGTATCCCGAGAAACTTCCGAAGAGCACCCCAAGAAACCCCGGCGGGCAGCCGAAGCAGCTCTGTCCTGCAAACCCAGGCACGGCGGCAGGTTGACCGGCGCCACTTTGACACTCGCTTCAGAGTGGCACGTCGTGGGGCCGGGGAGGAGGAGGAGGAGGTAGATAGATAGATAGAGCGGCATTGGGGGGCAAGGCAGCGCAATCGGCCGCAAGGATGGGCCCCCGCCGTCGCCGCTCAGAGCGGCACCTTCATTGTGATCCCGGCGCCGCGCACGCCGAACACCTTGCCGAACGAGGCGTAGTCGAGTCGGCCATCCATATTCTCATACTCGCAATCATAGCCCTGCCCACCACTCAGCCAGCTCGTCCTCCGTGACTCCCGCTGGTGGTTTGCCAGTCTTGTCCGTAGCTCCCGCTTGGAGCTGCGCACTGTGGGCGCTGCCCTTGATGTAGATATGCTGCTTCTGCCCCAGTGGGGGATCCGCCTCGGCCTCCTCGTCGGCCCAGGGCCCCTGCTCTAAGAACGGCGTGATCTTCACCAGGTTACTATCGAAGCACTTGCTGATCATCAGGTGCTTCACCTTGTTGAGGTCGGTCGCCACGCTGACCTGGCCCACGAACTTCCCGCGCGCTGCGAGAAAGCTCTTGGTCATGGCGCCCACTTCCTCGGAGCAGGGGGTCGAAATAAGCGTGACGAAGTGGTGTCCTTCTGGTGGTCCGAGCGATTGTTCCTTGCCCACCTCCTTGCACTTGTCCTCGTTGATCTTGCTGCAGGCTCGGAGCGCCTTGATCATCTTGGTCGGGGTCGGCGTCGAATACGTGCTGTAGTCCGCGGGAACGGCCCTGGCGATCTGCTGAGTGTTGGTCAGCACTTGCTTGATCAGCACTGTGCTCAACATCTGCAGCTTGGGGTCGCACTTGGTCCGGTAGGCTTCTCCGACTCGCTGCAGGCGTCGCATGGGAACTTTGCGACACCAATGAGGCCAGCAGCCGTGAGCATGAGGTGGAGGTGACCACAGCTTGGACTTGCGCTGAAGCCGTCTGTGGAAGCAGCGCCCGAAGGGGCACGGCGTGTGGAGCATGCGCAAGCCGAGGGCCGCGGGCTTGCCGTTCTTGTCGAGGGCGAGGCTCTGGCTGTGGTTGGCGTTGGGCGGGGCGAAGCCGACGCGGTACTCGTGGTTGAGGACTGACTCGAAGCTCTCCTGCGCGGGGGGAGCCTCAGCGAGCTCGTCGTCATAGCCCACGCCTGTCGTCTTCGCCTTCTGCTTGATGACGTAGGTGGGCTGGAAGGTCATCTGGAAGATCTCGGCGGACAGTGACCAGTCTGGCACGGAGGTGCGCTTCTTGAGGTACTTGAGCTGCTTGGTGACGCCGTAGAGTACTCGCTTGACGCCGCCCTTGGCGTCTTCATATTCGCGGCGTGCTTGTAGGTTGTGCTCGGTAGTGAACTCTTGAGTGTTCTCTTTCAAGATGCGCTTCTCCTCCTCGAGGTCGATCGGGTGAGCTCTGAGCCCTCCATGCAGTCCGTCTGGTGCAAAGTGTTCTGCCCACTCCTGCAGGCCGGGGCGTGCTCTGGTCGCGCGGCTGTACTTGCGGTTGCACTTGCCGTATTTGGTGCAACCCATAAGTCGAGACAGTTGATGTGCTTCTGCGTATTCTCGTCGTTGCCAGGCCTCGTAGATGTGCGCCTCGGGGCGTTGTCTTCTTTCTGCTTCATGCTGGCGCTTCAGCTTCTTGAGGGCACGTGAGAGGACCTGGGTCTGGTACTCGATCTCGTAGTTGGGGGCGGTCCCGATGTACTCCTCTTTAAGCTTGGCGCGCGCTTGAAGTAGCCGCAGAAGTTCCTCCTTGAGCTGGTAGTACTGGTCGAGCTTGAACTTCTGGCGCTCGATGAAGGGCTTGGACTCCTCCTGCGTGATGTTCACGATGAGCTCCCCGTGTTCATCCACTGTGTTGTCCCCGACCAACTCCTTCAGCTTGTCCTGGTGCTTGCCGAAGTTGAACTCCAGCGCGTCATTGAACTCCTTGCGGTACTCGCCCTTCTGGAGGGCCATGGCCTGCTCGTCGTAGTCCCAAGTGGTCCTCTTGAGGTCTGTGTGCACGCCGAGCATGTTGTGGAAGGCTGCGGCTGCCTCTCCAGGTATTCCTGTAGG